ACACAGCGTGCAGACTGAGGAAGGAGGGGCAGGGGTCCCCTCCGGGGACGGGAGAGGCCAGGCCCGCATCTCACAGGCGCCCTGGCTGCCTCTGAGAGCTGAGCCCAGGCGAGACATGCTTTTCCCTGCTCGGTCCTCAGGACGGGGAGTATGTGGGCAGCACCCCCATTGCAAAGAGTCTCCATCGTGCGTGGGGAGGGTCCCCCTCCGACTGCCCCCCAAGCAGAGAGGCAGGACCCGGAGCGAGTCACAGGGCGGGGTGAGGGGGGCAGCCAGTGGTGAGGGGAGCCCTGGCAGACAGTGGGGCCTGGGGACCAGACACGGGCACCCAAAGCCGCCGCGTCCCGAGAGGCCTGTGGGCTCAGGAGGAAGCAAGTGACAGTCGGGTGCCGGCCTGGTGAGTCACGGCAGGAAGGAGGGCGTCACGGCAGAGGAGGGCGCCCGCCGGGCCCTGCTGGGTGTGACTCACGCTGTGTCTCTGTTGCAGGGCGGCCTGGTGGCACTGGGCCTCTCTGGGGCTGATGCAGCTGCCCCGGGGGACTCCAGCACACGCTCTCTGAGGCCCTCCCCCGGGCGAGCCCGAGGGGTGCGGGTGCCCAGAGGTGCTCCTGCTCAGGTCCGCCAGCTCCATCCTGAGGACCGTGTAAGGAACCGGGCCCCTCGCGGCCCTCGCCCCCTCGGCCCCCCTCCCCGTCTCCGTCTCCGCAGAGCATGTCCTTCCACCCGCTTTCCTGACGACCCGCGGGGGGTCCGCCAGCGACCCCGAGGGCTGACGCAGCGCTTCCACGGGTCGCGCTACCCTCACAGTCGCTGTCGATTCAGGCAGAAAACAGGCCCAGAGAGGTCCTGCCGAGCGGGAGGCCGGTGGGGCGCCAGCACGATGGCGTGGGGAGCTGACCGTTAGCGACACGGGAGGGTTTGAGAACGGGGACGCGTGGGCAGCGGCCAGCTGGGCAGGGGCCTGGGGGTTAGGAGCCGGGCAGCCGGTCTGTGGCGGGGGCTGACCCTGAGTGAGCAGGGAGCCCGGGGAGGTCAGCGAGTCCCGTTTCAGAGGACGGGCAAGGCGCATCCCACTGCAGGGCCTCGAGGGAAAGGCTGGGAGGGCCACCTGGAGGGGAGGTGTGCCCTCCTCTCCGCCAGGCACGCGGCAGAGGCTGGGGGAGGCC